TGTGGGCAGCAAGGAAAGCTTTTGTAAGTGCCACCAAATAGTATTGTTCTCCTAAAGTTTTCCACCTACTGTATTAATTTAAGAAAGATTTTTTAAAAAGAAAAAGATGAAAGTACTCATTTGGCTTTCTCAACCAGCTGGGGCCATAACGATCTGATTTCCCTGAAGATAACAGACTCACACTGTTAGGACAAATGCATCTTTGACTCCAGATGCCGTATACTTCTCAGGATTTGCAGGATTAAGATTGAAGCTGAATGGGGGCTCATCACTTTGTCTTCAATGTTGTACTGATTTTTTTTTTCTTTTACAACAATCAAAAGAGCTCTTTGTAACATGAAGTAAATAGATACTTTCCTTGGGGCTTTGTATCCAGGATGAGAACAGCACCATTCAGCAGTGAGTCGGCAGAGGGTGTCCTGGTTCTGCTACTGACTGTATCTTCCCCTCACTATCCAACCTGTTGTCTGTAACCTGAAGAACCTGATTGCGTGTATCACTGATTTTCCAGGACAAGTTTGAGCTACTGAAAAATAATTACTTATTGAGCTGAATTGGTGGCATGCTGGCACTGTTAGTCCCAGTACTCAGGAGAGGGAGGCAGGAGGATCAGGAAGGGGTTCAGGGTCAACCTTGGCTACCTACACAATTTGAGGATAGCCTGGGTTATATGAGACTTTGTTTCAAAAGGCCAAAAACGATTATTTGCTTACTTAATTTTTTGTTTGTTTGTTTTTAGAGACAGGGTTTCTCTGTGTAGTCCTTGCAGTCTTAGAACTTACTCTATAGATCAGGCTGACCTCAAACTCTGTCTGACCTACCTCTGTCTCCTGAGTTCTGGAATTGAAAGTGTGGGCTACCACATCCCACTCTTTTTTAAAAATAGTACGTCCAATTTTGTGGCAAAGTATGTTGATTCTTTGTTGATCATTGTTATTCTGTAATTCTTTGCGCATGTCTTAATCATTGTGTCCTAATGGTAAGGAGATTTTATGAACGGGGAGAGATATCCAGAATGCTGAGTCTGGGCAAATGTTGTGTCTGCATGGGGAATGTGGCAGTGCCACGCTTCTGTGGTTAGAAAAATTCCAAGGCCTGGTTTTGAGTTCTAAAGAATGTGAATGGTTCTGCTTGCGTGCTTAATAACATGGAGCTTTGTTTGCTTCTTGTATTAGCTTAGCAAGCATTTCTTGAGTAAAGCTTTCCCACTGTACAATTTCCACTTTCTGAAAGTGGCTCTTTGCTGTTTGTTTGCTAGGCGTTTTGAAGTATCTTCCTACAGTGACTGTTTGTGAGGTCTGTGCTTTGCTATTTAAAGTGTTTTCAGAGCATGAGCATCAAACTTGATAGGAAGACACTGTCAGGCCACATTTCAAGTGGGTCGAACTCAAATCTGTATTTTAAGATTACTAATTGATTCTGTGCAGGTTGAAATTTAACAAGCCCACAGATAGCACTTGGATTGTTGTTACTGCCTGTGCGCGTGTAACAATTAAAGTACTTACTTGGTACTTTCTGATATAGCGATATCCTTAGAAGATGCTTCTGTCTCTAAAACCAGAAGAAGAAAAGGCCCTAAAACACAAGAATAAATACTCTGTCCACTAAAGTTCAGGACAATCAGAGGCTAAGTTGTTTTCATGCCTGCTGAGACTTTCCTGACAAGTTTGCCGCGTTTTGAAGGTCTGTATGAGAGAAGCTGGTCTGCAGTCTTCTGCGTCAGGGCATTTTAGTACAGAGATGCTTTCGGTTCCCTTTTGGTCAGGCAGATGTGGAAATGTGTGTGCAACCCATGGACAATAGCGTGCCATCCTCAAGTTTCCTTGCTTAGTTTTGCCAAGAGACTATCATAGTGCTCTCATTAATCTTGCATATTAACATAGGTCAGCATCCAGATCCCAGTTTCCTTCCTTCCTTCCTTCCTTCCTTCCTTCCTTGTCCTGGAACTCACTCTGTAGACGAAGCTGTCCTCAAACTCCTTGAGATCTGCCTGCCTCTGCCTCCCAAGTGCTGGGCTTAAAGGCATGCTCCACCACCACCACCCGACCCCAGGTTTGGTTTCTGTGTTGTTTAATTACTTTGGAGTTTAAGGAAAAGTACTTTGGGATCTATGTGATTTCTGTTCCTCATATCTTAAAAGTACAGGTGTGCTTCAGGGGCAAAAAAAAAAAAAAATCTGAGTGTTGATTGGCCGATGCTTTGTGCAGTGTTTACAAAGACCACATTTTGTATTATATTAGCTCAGAGTCGTTTCAGTGGCTTAGTAAATGAGAGTAGATGTATTTCTTTAAGTACCAGTACTTTAAAAATACTGGTAATGTTTAAAAATAAATTAGAGTAGCTACTGAGAAACCCTGTCTCGAAAAAAAAGAAAAAACAAGTTAGAGTAAGGGTTCCTCTAAGGACTTTCTTTTTATTACTATGCCTTCATTTATTTCAGCGCCATTTGTAGTAGCACTACCTACTATCTGTGTTAGCGTGGGCAAGTTACTCTTTCCTATCCAAGTATTAACTATTCCTGACCTAGTCTACCATCCAGGATTCCATGAGGTAGAGCATGTTCGGGGTATTTCTTGAATTTAAATGTCCTCAATTACAAGATCAAATGATTCATGCCTTTTTGGGGGGATGGGGTTATTGAAAGATTTGAGGTAATGTAGGTAAGACCCCTAACACGACTCTGACACAGAAAACAGTACCTAATGCAAGCATTAGCTGCTTTCCCTCTTCCATGTGTGCACAGTTATTCTAGGTGTGGCTCTTGCTAAAACAAGATTCCTGTTGCATTCTTTTTTCATTGTATCAAAGTTGAATGGAGACAGTAAACTTAGTGACAGAGACCTTGTTTTGTTTACTGTGGCATCTTTGGTGCCTAGCCTGACCGTGTACTAAATGCTTGATGAGTATTTGATGGATGAATGAATATGCTTGAATAAATTTAGAGGGTGCCTTTGAAGTTTATAGACATCAGATGTACTTAGGTAAAATTAAGTTATTAAAAAATTTATTTGTCCAGTGAAATGGCTCAGTGGATAAAGGCATCTGTGGCCATTCTGACCAGAAACCATGGCTGAAAGGAGAGAGCTGACTCCCACAAGTTGCTCTCTGACATTTACAATAAAAAAAAAAAAATGAGCTGGGCTTGGGAGCACACACTTTAATCCCAGCACTTGGGAGGCAGAGACAGGCAGATCTCTGAGTTTGAGGCCAGCCTGGTCTATGTAGTGAGTTCTAGGATAGCCAAAGCTACACAGTGAGACCCTGTCTCAAAAAACACCAGCAACAGCAAAAACAAACTAGCAAACAAAGAAAAAAAAACTCTAAACTTTTATTAAGTAACTGTGGAATTGGGTCCGTCAGAAAAGTGCCTGCTGCCCTACAAGCAAAAGGATCATAGTTCAGATCCTCAGCACCTAGGTAAAAAGCCGAGCCCAGTGTCACATTCCTGTAATCCTTAGTACTGAGGAGACAGAGCTAGTCAGCTCCCTGGAACTCATTGAACAGCCAGCTTAGCCAAATCAGTGGGCTCCAGGTTCAGTGAGAGACCTTGTCTCAAAAACGTAAAGGGGAGGAAGATTGATGAAGATACCTAAAGTTGACCTCTGACCTCCCTCATACACATACACACACCCTCACATACATACACCACACACAAACACTTAGTAGCTAGTCTATGCAGGTACTGTTCTAGCCATTGGGTGTGCAAGTGGTAAAAAAGACTCAGGGCCTGTGTAGTTGGTTCAGTGGTTAAGAGTATTGCTTCACTTGCAGAGCTCCTGAGTTTGATGTGCAGCACCCACACTGGAAGAGCTTAAAACTGACAACTGCCTGTAACTCTTGCTCCAGGAGATATGGCACCCTCCCTGGCGCCCTTGGGCACCTGCGCACACACATGTATATTGACACATACAAAGATCAAAGATAGAATGAATCTATTAAAAAAAAAAAGACCTAAGGTCTTATCCCCATGAGATCCTGTGTTTTAGATGGAGAGAGGGTTATATGGAGGAAGGGCAGTAAGCGCGTCAACAAGGCTATAGTGTGGCAGGGCTGAGAGGCTGTGTTTGGGAATGAGGGCTGCCACTTCAGTTGGAGTGCCTGGGAGGCCTGTCTCAGAGACTTGACCTCTGAACTGGAACAGCAGTGGCGATGCCCTTTGATTCTTACCGTGAGGCTTGAGTAGCAGTGCTGGAGCTTTGACATCAAAGGACTAGAAACTATCAAGTTTCACATGTGAGGCTTGTAACCTTCTCCCCTAACGTGAATCAACACTAGCTTCCTAAGAGTTCCCCATAGCATTTCTCTGACTTCTCACCCCCAGTATAGTGGTTTTACTTCCTACTTTCAAAATTGCTGAGCATTCAAAATCATGTTTCCCAGAAGAAAAGTTGTTTTGAAGAGCTTAAAATCAGATGTCTCTGGAAGAGGTTGGAGTTTGGTGTTGCATCGTGAAACCTAAGGGCATCTTTTGTGTGATTGTTTTGGCTGTTTACTTATTCTTGGTGTTGTCAGCTCTGCTAGCAAATGATCAGAATTCTGCATTTGCTCCTCCTAATGAAGAAATCTTCATGCTAAGAAATATGAGGAAGAAAAACAAAAGAGATTTGCGGAACTCTCTAATCCAATTGTCTCTGGAGTTTGGGATTCCTGCAAATCTTGCATTTTCGGTTGACCCCGTGAAGGGACGGTATCCAGATAAGGCCCTGTTTTAGGAAGCATGAAGGTGTATTTGCTACATACAGCTCTGAGCCTTGAATTTAGTTGTGGTGTGTTTCATTACGTGGCCTTGGTAGATACTATTTTAAGCTAGTCTTTCATAACTTAAGGCATCAATAATTTATCCAGGATGTATAGGTAAAATATTTTTGTGCTTTAATGTAAGGTCTTCTGTTTAATGGATTGGAAGTCTGTTGATAAAATCCAATCTTTTGAGGTTTTTGGGTTTGGCCTTTAGCAAGTTGTTTTGCTTATAATAGTCCCCCTTCTCTTCCTTTTAATAGGGACATCATGACAACAGAGAAGAGCTCGGTGGTTGAAGCTGAGGATTCTCAGCACCAGCAACAGAAGGAAGAAGGTGAGGGAGCCGCAAATTCAGGCCAACAAGAAACTCAGCTGGAAGAGGCTTCCCAACCGGCAGCTGAAGGCGCTAATCAGTGTGAGCCAAAGCTGAGAGCATCCAATGGGGACACTCCGACACATGAAGACTTGACCAAGAACAAGGAACGGACGTCAGAAGGCAGAGGCCTGTCACGACTGCTCTCCTCGTTGCTCAAAAGGCCCAAGTCTCAAGTTTCTGAAGAAGAAGGCAGAGAAGTAGAGTCAGATAAAGAAAAAGGTGAGGGAGGTCCGAAGGAGATAGACTTGGGAACCAGCCTTGATGAAGACATCATTTTAAAGGCCCCTATCGCAGCTCCTGAGCCTGAACTCAAAACAGACCCATCGTTGGATCTTCATTCATTAAGCAGTATAGAAACACAGGTAAGGCATTCGCCTGTGGGGGAGAGTATAGTGAAGATCCATTATATCTGTACTTTCCATAGAAGAATATTTGCTATTATTTCTTATGAGTCAGTTGACTCAGGCACTGATTGTGATAAATAGCATAAAGAGTTTCTACTCTAAAGAAATTAATGTAATCAGTTGAAACCCGACTTAAAAAATATGCTCTATAAATCAAAGAAATGAAAGGAAACTATCAGATGAGTTTATTAAGTCCATGTATCATCTTGCTGTAACAACAGAACAAATTTGAGTTTTAATGAGAGAGCAAGAAAGAAGTGAGGTGGTTTCAAGTTCATTTTGGTCTAATTAGGGATGGGATAGTTACCAGCCAGTGTGGCCCTTTTGTGAAAACTCTTCATTAATTCATGTGATCAATCTGAGCCACACCACCTGCCCTATTTGGGCTCTATGCTAGGGAGCAGCATATCACTGAAATGTTAATTACACCCCATGTGTAATAGTTTTATATTTTTATCATATTTATTTATTTATTTATTTATGCATGTGTGTACATGCATGTTTGAACATGCATGTATCATAGTGTACATATGGAGACCAGAGGACAACTTTGGGGAGTCAGTCTCTTTTTTCCACAGTGTAGCATTCAGGAATCAAACTCAAGTAGCCAGGCCTGGCAGCATGTGCTGCTTCCTGATAAGCCATCTCATTGGCCCCTCCTGTAATGTTTATTCACACGGGGCTTTAACTTTGTCACAGTATAATTAAACATAAGTTGTTCTTTTCTCCAAAACACATGTAAAAGCACAACTAGCATAATTCAAACTGTCTTCTGCGAATCTTACTTTTTATAGCCTTGTTGCTTACAAAGAGTTATTTTCAGATTTTACTTCTGTAGCTTTTGAACATTATCTGGATTGTGTTAAGTCCTGTATGTGCTTCTGTGAAAGGTCCAAAGAGGTATATAGTTTCATTAGGATTTTCTAAAATTATTACATGTATTTCTGGAAATATTACTTGTGTATTCAGAGTGTCAAAGGCTGATTTTAGGATGAAATCATAATAGGTACTCGCTGTTAGTGAAACAATATTAAAAAACAAAACCCAGGGTTGGATAGGAGACTCGGTGGGTAAGAGGCTGCTGCACAAGCCTGGTGACCTCATTCACATCCCTAAAACCCTCACGAAACGATGAATGTGGTAGCACAAATCTGTGATCCCAGCATTCCTTTGGAAAGATGAGGGGTGGAGACAGGAGTGTAGCATAAACTTTAATTGTTCTTAATAATAAAAACTCAGAGTCAGCTATTGGTTGTGAACAGAAGGATCAGAGAAGCAGAGTGGCAGCCACTACAGTTCTTACCTCTACCAAGACTCAGACCCAAGGGGCGATCCTTGGTATGATCTCTCCAAGTATGATCCTTGGTATGATCCTTGGTATGAGTATGGCTTCTCATACTGACTGCGTCAGGCTGCTCTGAGCTCCTGTCCCTTCCCACCTTACATTCCTCTCTCTGCCCATCCATATCACTCCCTAGTGCTGGGATTAAAGGCATGTTATTCCAATGCTGGGATCACCTTGTGTGAGCTCTGTTTCTCTTTTAGACAGATTCAATCTTGTGTAGCCCAGGGTGGCCTTGAACTAACAGAGATCCCTCTACCTCTGTCTCCTGAGTCCTGGGATTAAAGGTGTGTACCACCACTCCCTGGTCTCTAGTGGCTTAACTCTGTACTCTGATCTTCAGGCAAGCTTTGTTTGTTAAAACACAAAGTAACACCACACAGGAAACTCACCTGGAAGCTTGTGGGTCAGTCAGCTAAGATTGAATACTGCAGTAGCAGAAATGAGAGACCCAACCTCCAGCAAGGTAGAAGTCAAGAATTAAATGTGTGTTCACATGCACATAACATATGTGAATCATACACACATGAACAAAAAAAACCCCCAAGATTCACTATATAATAGTTGTCTCAGGGTTTCTATTGCTGTGAAGAGATACCGTGATCATGGCAACTCTTATAAAGGAAACCTTTTAGTTGTTCAGAGGTGCCGAACATGGCTGGACATGGTGATGGAAAGGTAGCTTAGTGTCCTACATCTTGGCTTGGCGACAACAGGAGGTGATCTAAGACACTGGGATCTTGAGCATATATAAGATCTCAAAGCCTGCCTCCACAGCGACACATTTCCTCCAACAAGGCCACACCCATTACAACAAAGCCACACCTCCTAGTAGTGTCTCTCCCTTTGGGGCCATTTTCTCTCAAACCATCACAATAGTTATGAATGAGACATATGGAATCAAAGTAGGGACTGCAAAACAGAAGAGTGACGGGCCCTCGTGCTTGCACAGCGAACTTTACTGACGGATCCACCCCCTTTTTGAGAGAAGGTCTTGCAATGTAGGCTTGCCTAGCCTGGAACTTGTTATGTTGGCTGGCCTCTAACTCACGGAGTTGCACTTACTTCTGCCTCCTGATTGCTGGAATTAAAGGCTTGCACCCATACCAAGCACTCACCTATTAGTTTTAAATATTTATTTATTCATTAAAAATAATTATTGAAAACCTACTGTGTAAACCAGGTTCTAGGATAGATGTACCTTGATGAGTTAAACACTGTAAATGGTGGACCAGTGAGATGGCCACAGACAAGAAGGTGGAAGGAGCAACATTCAGGGTGTTGATATAAGAAATAGTTCAGTGTGATAGGACATGCGCAGCTCATGGAGGCCTCTCTGAAGGTGCTGAAATGGTTGTGAAGGTTACATACCAGCCTTTCAGCGGCCACCTCCTGAATCTAATACAGCAGGCAAGCAACTCAGTCTTTTTCTTTTTTTTTTAAATAAATGTCAACCATGTATTGTTTTGGAAGAAAAGAATTTATAGAATCTAGTTAAAACTCATTGAATTTATTGTGTTGAAAGAAAGAAAAAAAATCCAGTATGTCTTCTAATCCCAGCACTTAGTAGACCGAGGCAGGAGAACTACAGGTTTGAGGCTAGTTAGCTGTCTTTAATAATAATAACCCAAAAAATGTAAGAAAATGTATGCTAAAATATTCTCTGACTTTCCTGTGTAACCTTGGGATGATTTAAGGTTTGCTGGGGGAGCCAACTTCAATCTCCCCTCCTCCTTTACTCTTGTTTGGATGTAGCAAAGTAGGGAAGAGTTGGGGTGGAGCCAGTTTTTAGCCTGGTACATTCATTTCTTAACGCAGATATGTAGGGTTTCAAGAACTTCTTTGAGCTGTATATAAAATTTAAAGCCCCTGACAGATCGTTTTATTCACAGTTCACAAGGCTACCTTTCTAAAGTGGAGGATCATGGGATAGAGGCAACAAAGTTTGACGAACATATATATCATATAATGTTACAGTCAGGAAGAATATATAATGCTGAGAGCAACAGATGGTTTCCCACAGTCACCAATTTGATAGGATTATACCTGAAAAAAATGAAGAATAGTCAAGTCTAAATATCTTTGAGGAAATCATAATACCTGTTAAAAATGAATTAGTTAATATAACTCCACTGTTTTTTTTTTGTTTTGATAGTTTATTTCTGTTCTTTTTTGTTTGTTTTTGCTTTTTGAGACAGAATTTCTCCCTGTAGCTTGCGCTGGCCTCAAACTCACAGAGATCTGCCTATCTCTGGCTCTGAGTGCTGAGATTAAAGGTGTGTGCCACCACCGTCCAGCTTCTGGTTGTGTTTTTATTGGTGGGGTACTGCTTACTGTAGGTAGGAGTGTGTAACCTATTTTGTGATGTCTTTTCACTGATGTGGTGTGGTGGGTGTGCAGCCAGCTCAGGAGGAACACAGAGAGGATCCGGAGTCTGAAACGAGGGAAGGAGAAGGGATTGAGGAGTGTTCCAGGGCAGCCGTGAAGGACGACCCCGAGTCAAAAGCGGAGAGAGAACCCGAGGCTTCGCAGAAGCCGGTCAGGAGGCACCGAGACATGCACTGCAAGGTCTCTCTGTTGGACGACACCGTTTTTGAGTGTGTGGTGGAGGTGAGTATGTTTTAATCCCAGAGTCAGAGCTACAATCGCTTTGTGTGGGGTGTGGGGCTAATAAAGATAAGACCCACTCTGAGGACCATTCTGTGGACGGAAATGTTAACTGTGACTTTCTGGAGATGAAGTGGTGGGAAAATGGGAGTCTTATTTTCTCCTCCCTGAATCTGTCAAGGTCTTGAGACTTAAGTGTGTGGTTACTTTTATAATTTTAGAGTCGTGTGTGTGTGTGTGTGTGTGTATGTATAGTACTTCTGTGACTAGATTTCCCAAGGTAGGCTGAATTTCTGATACTAGGTCCAGCTATCCCTAAAATTTATGTTTGGAAATGAAATCTCTAGGTATCTCAGGGTAAAAGCACCTGCAATTCAGTTGTGAGTTCAAATCCCTAGAATCCACACAAAGCTGGCTGCATTAGAATCTGTAATTCTTGTCCTTCTGCAGTGAGGTGTGTACAGAGACAGGAGAATTCCTTCAAGTTCATGGGCAGGTAGCCTGGTGTGGGCAGAGACAAAATGAGAGATGTTTCAAATAAGGTACAAGGCAAGGAACTGACACCTGAGGTTGTTTTCTGAGCTCCACATGCAAACCATGGAACTCAAATACACATATATACATGTTATACACACACGGGGCGGGGGGCAAATAATAGAAAGTAGTTATGAGTGCTCAGAGCACTTGCTGTTCTTGAAGTTACAGAGGACTGAGTTTGGTTCCCAGTACTCACAGCTATCTATAACTCCTGTTCTGGGGATTGGGCACCCACTTACAGCCTCTTCAGGCACCTGCAAACGTGGTGTACACAGGTTCATGTATACACAAACATACATGCACACACACAAACACAGAGTTTCTGTTTAACATTTCTGTTCCCCCAGATCTAAGTCTTACTCATTCATTTTTATCTGTCTGATATATTTTTAGTCCCATGAAATAAACTATAGAAATATAAATCATATAATGCCATTTATTTTCTTTAACATTTCTGTTCCCCCAGATCTAAGCCTCAATCATTCATTTTTATCTATCTGATGTATTTTTAGTCCCGTGAAATAGACTATAGAAATATAAATCATATAATGCCATTTCTTTTTTTCCCAGTTAGAAGGAGACTGAAATATAATGCCATTTCTTAAAATCCTTAATGTTTTATGAGAGAATCAGTAATTGAATCAGGATTTAATAGATGTCAGATATTCAGCTTCTTTCTTTGTTCCTTCAGGATGAGCTAAAACATCTGTTAGCTGTTGCTTTAACTTGCCAGTAGTTGCCAGTTGTGCTGTGGGTGCTGTATGCACAATTATTGCAAGTACTAGTAGCTTTTATGGACAAAACATGTCATTCATGTGCTTGAGTTTTATTATTACTGATCAGATTTTGTGCAAATATGTATGTATCCATCCAACCACAAGCATTCTAAAGTATTATGTATAGAATGTGTGTGTGTGTGTGTGTGTGTGTGTGTGTGTGTGTATTCTATATATAATACTGTTGTTTTAAGACAGGGTTCTCTGTGTAGCCCTGGCTGTCCTAGACCAGGCTGGCCTCTAACTAACAGAGATCTGCCTGCCTCTGCCTCCCGAGTGCTGGGGTTAAAGGTGTGCACCACCACTGTTCAACTATATTTTTAATTTTGTAGTTGTTGTTGAGATGGAGAGTCATATAGTTCAGGCTGGTCTTGTCATGTAGCCTAGGATGATCTTGAATTCCGAATCTCCTGCCTCTGTTACCCAAGTGCAAGGATTACAGGCGTGTGCCACTATGCCTGACTCAAACATGTTATTTCTGTGACGAGAAAATACAAATATTTGTTCTGATATGGGTAACTGAGGGAAATAAACAGCCAGAAGTTTTCAACAAATGAATTTTAGTGATAAACTTTTTGATTGTTAGAACTCCTCGATTTGGGAATTATGAATGAAAGTGTTTAGGGACTTGTACCTGAATTCTCAAATTACTGACCCTCATTTAGAGTGAAATCAGAAAAAAGGTTAAATTTAATGATGTTATATATAAATGAGTTAACACTAAATGAACAATTATGCAAATTATTAATAGTTATTTAAAATAATCCAGGAGACTGTATAAACTATATGTACTAAAAATATCTATGTAGATAGGGCATAGCTCAATATAGTGCATGTTCCTGACACCCAAAAGGCTCTGGGTTCATACCTGGAACCCGGAAGGAAAGATTTGTAAATTTTAAAGTATTTTTGTATATATTTCTGAGAAGGCATTAACCCGTTTCTGATTTTTTAGTTAAATGGGTATAAAAATTCTTATTTTACAGTTGAAGAGCTAGTGTTAATTGAATGACACAGCTGGTTAGCTGGTAAATAGAGGAGCCAGGTTGTTGTTTTAGCTTTAATTCACAGCCTGAAAATTACGGCATGCTTCCTTATAAGAGCTGAAGTGCCAGCTTTAGAAGTGGTTTGACTTTGTAAAGAAAATGATTTGTAACACTGCTGAGTAACTGCTATAACATCTAATGTCTGTAGGTTGTCTGTTTCCTACTCCTCAGAAAGGGGTCTTAGGGAGTTCGTGTATAGCTCATTCTTTTTTTTAATATTTATTTATTATGTATACAATATTCTGTCTGTGTGTATGCAGACATACACACAGGCATGTATACACACCTGCAGGCATACACACCCTGCAGCACCAGACCCCATTACAGATAGTTGTGAGCCACCATGTGGTTGCTGGGAATTGAACTCAGGACCTTTGGAAGAGCAGGCAATGCTCTTAACCTCTGAGCCATCTCTCCAGCCCCTGTATAGCTCATTCTTATTGATACTTATTTTGAAAATAATTTCCACAGTCACAATTATCATCTGTTTTGAAAGGTTGAGTTAGTAATTTAGTTGATCATGGTAACTGGTAGTGACCCGTAGCATGGCTCAAGAAATGCTGCACAAAAAATTATGAGAGAATGAGAATGAATGAATGTGCTTAGCTGGGTGTGGCAGGACGTACCTGTGGTCCTAGTACCTAGAATAGAAAGCAGAACCAGGTAGTGGTGGCACACACCTTTAATCCCAGCACTTGAGAGGTAGAGGCAGGCGGATCTCTGTAAGTTCCAGGACAGCTAAGAACTACACAGCCTGTCTTAAAAACCAAAAAAAAAAAACAAAAAAACAAAAAAACAAAACAAAAAAAAAACTCAAAAAACAAAAAACAAAAACAAAACAAAAACAAATAAGAATCTAAGGCAGGAGGATCACGGAATGAGACCCTAATTTAGGGGTGTGATTTTTTTTTATATATTTTTTTTTATTTTTTTGGATGGAGGTGGGATTTTTCTTAGCATTGTGGCTGTTTCCAAAGTGCTATAATAATATGTTCTGTTTATAAGCTGACATATCCAGAAAGAGGGGGATTTTATAAATCATGCTCTATTTGGACTGAGAATGTATTAATTACCAAAGGTAAAAAAGGAAATTGGAAAAGAACATTTTTTGAAAAATTTGATGATGAATATAGGAATAAGGAGAACCCTTAACTAATGTTTGTGTATCTTCACAGAAACATGCTAAGGGACAGGATTTGCTTAAGCGGGTTTGTGAGCACCTCAATCTGTTGGAGGAAGACTACTTTGGTTTGGCTATTTGGGATAATGCAACCTCTAAGGTAAGGAGACTACAGTATAAGCAGCTGGCAATTTCAGGTCTCATGTTGGTAACAATGTCTCATGTTGGTAACAATGTCTGTGCCTGCCTGGTCTCATGTTGGTAACAATGTTTGCCTGGCTGTTCTCATGTTGGTAACAATGTCTGCCTGCCTATTGTCACGTTGGTAACAATGTCTGTGCCTGCCTGGTCCCATATTGGTAACAATGTCTGCCTGCCTATTGTCATGTTGGTAACAATGTTTGTATCTGCTTCTCTAAGACACTGGTAAATCTCTTCTCACATTTCCCTTCTAAAATTTTATTTTTTTAAAGAGAGAGCATTACTAATGTGCTTTTTTTCATCATCAAGAAAAAATACCTACTATGCTTATTCCTACAATTTTAGTGATAAAAAATTGAAGTTCAGCACGATTATCCATACCAAGGTTGTACAGTAATGAGTGGTTGAAAGGTTCAGATACCTGACCCTTATCCTTTACTGACTGCTGTATTTGTTCTCAATTACAGTCTCTGTCTACCGTCACACTCCCTATAATTAATGTCATTCCTTTATTTTAGACCCTTCAGTGATACAGGAATGACATTAATTATAGGAAGCGTGATGGTAGACAGAGACTATAATTGAGAACAAATGCTCTTTATTTTAAACCCTTCAGTGGCCAAGTGGTGGCACACACCTTTAATCCCAGCACTTAGGAGGCAGAGGCAGAGGCAGACAGATCTCTGTGAGTTCAAGGCTAGCGCCTGGTTTACAGTGCAAGTTCCAGGACAACTAAGGCTATAGGGTAAACTCCTGTCTCGTAAAACCAAAAAAAGAAAAAAAAAAGATTTAAATCCTTCAGTGGCTTCTACTTGCCTAAAACTTACTGAAGCCCGGTTTCTTAGCACAACGTATGGTCTCCATGTCCTGACCCTTACGGTACCTTTCAGTTTTATCTCTGTGCTCAGGTAATGCTGAACTACACAGAGCAAATCTTTTGTACTTCGGTGCCCATCTAGTTATTTTCATCTCTTCTTTGACTGATTCACATTTCAAGACTCAGACTCTCCAGGTACCTGAGAACATTTCCTAAAATTCCATTGGATTCGTATTCTGAGATGCTCTGAGCTTCAGCATAGCGCCATAGTTATTTATACCCAGGGCAAGCAAATTGTTGTTCATTAATCATCTCTCTCATTAGTGACCTCTCCTTAAGTGCTATTTTTACTCTTTTTCATAACCACAATGCCATCCACATGAAGTCATTTCTCAAAGATTTTTTGGCTAAATAAAATACCAAGATTTTACTTTTATTTATTTATTTATTTATTTATCTATCTATCTATCTATTTATTTGTTTATTTTTTTGAGACAGGGTTTTGCTGTAGCTTTGGAGCCTCTCCTGGAACTAACTCTTATAGAACAAGTTGGCCTCGAACTCACAAAGATCCGCCTGCCTCTGCCTCCTGAGTGTTGGGATTGAAGGCATGCACCACCACCGCCTGGTGAGAATTGATTTTTTTTTAATGTAGTTTAATTTCATGAATGTTGGTGCTTTGCCTGCATATATGTCTGAGGGTGTCAGATCCCTTGGAACTGGAGTTATAGACAATTGTGAGCTACCATGTGGGTGCTGGGAAGTGAAACTCTGTCCTCTGAAAGAGCAACCAGTGCTCTTAACCACTGAGCCATCTCTCCAGCCCCGAGAATTGAATATTTTAAATTGAGCACAGAAGTATACATACTGATTTTATTATTATTAGAAAGTCTTAGTTTTGATTTTGATCTGTTTTTAACCTTGACTTTTGATAGTTTTCAAAACATAAATTGCCAGGTGCTGATGGCACACACCTTTAATCCCAACACTCAGGAGGTAGAAGCAAGTGGATCTCTGTGAGTTTGATGGCAGTCTGGTCTACAGAGTGAGTTCCAGGACAGACTCCAAAGCTACACAGAGAAACCCTCTCTCAACAAAACAAAACAAAAAAGTTATAAATTACATGAATTTATTTTGCGGGGGGGAGGTGGTGGTCAGAGGATAACTTTTGTGAATTGATTTTCTTCTTTTACCACAAGAGTTTGGGGATTCGACTCCGGCTTGGCAGTGGTGCTTTTACCCGCTGAGCCATGTCACATCATAAGCCTTTATTGATTCTGAAAGATAGCTTAAACTTTGAAGCTCCAACGTGATTCATTTTTATGTGTGTGTCTGAGCAAGTGTGTACGTATGTATGCGTGTGTATAGAGGCCAGGAGTTTGACACTGGGTGTCTTCCTCTTTTGCTGTTTACCTTGTTTTTGAGACAGGGACTCTCAGTGGAGGTGGAGCCCACTGGTTTTTATATACTGGCTGACCACAAACATCAGGGATCTTCTTGTCTCCGCACTCCAAGCACTGTGATTGCAAGCATACACAACCAAGGCCAAATTTTTATCTGAGTGCTGGGAATCAAGCTCAGGTCCTCATGCTTACATGACACACATTTTACCTCTTGAGCTATCTCCAGTCACGTATGTAATTCATTTTCATACTGTAGAATAGCTTCCTATCAAGTGGTATTTATTAATAAATATTCTTTAGTCTTCCATGTTAATTGTGGGGGAATATAAAAGGCAACTTTCCTCATTCTTACACATATGCCAAAATAGTAAGTATGTAAGCAAGTGTAAAATTGTAGTGGTTGAGCCTGTCCATTTGGTAGGGTATCTATTTGGTCATTCTGTGTTCTGTCTGTGTTGGTAAAAAGTGAGGAAGGAATACCATACTTCCCCCCCCCCCGGAAATTACTAAAATTCAATTTTAAAAATCTTTTGGATGAGGGAAAGAAAAGGGTTAGTTAGGTAAAAGTAGGGCATCTGGAATTTTGTTAATGTTATGATTCTTATGTGTTTGCTTTGCTACTTCATTGATGCGCGCGCGTGTGTGTGTGTGTGTGTGTGTGTGTGTGTGTGTACTGGTGACTAAGGCTGGGAACATTGCACATGCAAGTATGTATTCCATCACTGAGTTTTCACTCAAAATGTGTATGTGTCTTACAGTTTTAAATATTTTAATAGTTTCAAATCTAATGTAAATAAGTTGGGTGTGGTGGTACATACCTTAATCCTAGCCCTTGGAAAACATGCAGAACTCTGTGAGTTCAAAGCTAGCCTGGACTACATATTAGTTCAGACCATTTAGAGCTGCATAATGAGACCCTGTTTCAAAAGAAAAAAAATGCTGTTCTAAATAATAGTAGAAATTTAGCAGTTTTTGTCTTTAAACATCTCTCATTGAGGCCATTGTTAATAGTGAAACTTTTTCTAAAGTGCCAGCATCTTGCAGGGGACGTGCAGGTTGAAGAGGCCTGCTGTGGTGATGTATAGTGGGGTGGTGGGAGAAAGAGAAGGGGGAGAGTGGGCAAGATATATTCATTTTGGTAAACATTAACTGGGCAATGAACTGTGCACCAGAGGCTGGGCTGACATAAAAAATTTGAACAAGACCAAAGGTTAGAGGAGAAAATAGGATTTGGATGATGTCACTCACTCACTGTCTGGATCTTTAGTAATCTTTCCCTAACACTGTAGATAGTACACACTATTTCACATTTGCTGTTACAGCAGGCTTACATATATGAGCAGCTCTGTAACATGGATACTATGACAAAATTTGCATTCTAGAGATAAGGGAACTTAGGTATGGAGAGCCTCTAGATACTCAGCCAGAGCATACTGGAGCATGGATTCAAACCAACCTCTGGTTCCCTTCTTTGCTGCTGAGAAACCACTATGCTTTGTAACATTAACACAAAGGCTTCCAGAGGGAGATGTAGGTTCAACTGGAGGCCTTTTCCCAAGGTAGCCAGGGAGCTGCCTCCCATGCTGAATTGCTTGTGTGTTCTGGAGCTCTGTGTGAATGCCTTTTCTTCTTTTTACAGACGTGGCTGGATTCTGCCAAAGAAATAAAGAAACAGGTTCGAGGTAAGTGGATACAGCCCTTTTATGGATCTCTCTTTTTTAGTTGGGCCAGAGGATCCCCAGCCATCACTGGCTGTGAGCCAGTCACTTGAGAGTCCTGACTGTGGCAGACTGCTTTGAAATAGAGATAAAGCTTTTCCCTGGAAGGGCCGATTCCATAGTAGAGAAATATAGTAGAGGTTGACCATATTGAGATGTAGGGCAGATTTTGACCATAAACAGACAAAACAAAAACCAACTGGGCAAATTTGGAAAAGTAGGACTAGGCGAGAGTAACAGAAGGTTGGAAAATAACAAAAATGAGAAAATGAAAATGGGAATCAGTTCTCAAAATGGCAGAGACGGAACTGTGCTAGCCACTGGCAGGAGTTTGCTGCTGGGTCTTGGTCCTTTTAGTGTTCTAGACTCTTGTGGTCTTTTTAGTGTTCTAGACTCGTGTGTTCTTTTGGTGTTCTAGACTCTTGTGTCCTTTTTGTCTGGGTTGTGTGATTTTCTGGGTGGTAATGAAACCTTGTGTGACCTCGCGTTGCCATGTCTAGGCCATGATTCCCCTTTTATCTAGCGTCCCCACACTGTGTATGCTGCAAGCTTACTTAGTTAAGCTTAGTTAGCTGTGAGGTTATCGGCTAGTCTATCACAGGCTTGTGTTAAGTAAACCTTTCATTATCTAATAGTGGCCACGAAGTACCAGAGTAGTGATGTTGGCAATTTGGTTAGGCCAAAGAGAAGTTACCCAGTAGTCCTTTAAGTGGAAAAGGTAAGTTCTCAACGTTGTGTTGTTTATAGGGCTCAATACTCTTCAAGATTGTCAGCATCCACGGGAGGCCCTGGAGCACATGCCCTGAGATAGGGAAGGCCGTGCTTGTCATCCTTTTGTAAATCTAAGGAAGGAAAAGTGAAGGAAGACTTCTTTTCCAATGGCCGTCTGGCAGTGGAGCTCCTCTCGTAGCTTGAGCATATCGTACTGTTGCATGCCCTGCTCGGACTGCTGTTCTGGCGTGGAAAACGTGCAGATTAGTAGTTCATAGCCCAGACCCAGTGGAGTCATTGAGATGGCGCATCTTGATTAAAGCCAGCTAGCTATCATTGTAGCTTCATTTATTTCTGAAGAGCCTTCAGGAAATATGGTGGTGGTTACTGATGAGTGGATTTTAACTCGTTAGTCACCTATTGAGAATTGTTCACTTGTTTCTTGAAACATTTCTGTTACCATGAAACGTTTTTCTTTAGCTCTTGATCATGACTGTTTTAGCATTCTTTTATTTCATTTTGTTTTTGTTTTAGCATTCTTAAAATAGAGAAGCAAAATTTTTTTTTCCTTTGGACTGGCAACTTTCTACATTTGTTCTTCACTGATAAAGGCTTGAATTTATTATTTTATAATTACTATTTTTGTTATTACTATTTTGAGACTGGTCTCACTAGATAGCCCAAAGCAAGCTATAAATAAATTTACATACCCAAGACTCTATTAAAAATAATGATGAAAGTCTTCCTACTGTATGGGGAAAAATCCATAAAGCTTTACTAGTGAATCAAATATATACTATCAGGAAAGGGGTTTTCCTTTTTAACCTTTTATTTTGAAAGTTTTATTGCGAGTATACATGTATGTGTGCACACGTGCATGTCTGCAGAGGTCAGAGAACAGCTTTGTGGAGTCAGTTTTTTCTTCCACCTATACATGGGTTACAGGGATTCAATTCAGGTAGCTAAGCTTGTGTGGCAAGCACCTTTACCTGCTGAGCCATCTCTGTAGCCCCCATGAATAATTTAAACATCATCAAATCTAATCAATTAGATTGGTATAATCTGTGTGATATTTCTAGGCAGATAGGAATTTTTCAGAATGTACCCAGGAGAGATATACATATCTGGGTTTCAGCTACTTGAGGGTCTCTCTCAAAACAAGCAGATCAAAGCAATTATGCTGGACATGGTTTTAAAACCCAATTATAAAAGTAAATGTTACAGGTATACAATATAACATTTAAAGTAAATGTTACAGGTATACAATATAACATTTAAAGGTGCAAACGAAAATAGCACAAGGTGAATCTTCCTGCCCTGCCTTAGTCATGCAGTTTCCTTTTCTGGAAGCAACCATGGCAACTAATTTCCTGTCTTCCTTCTAGGCAAGTCTGAGCGCATTTAAACACATACCGATGGTCGTGTCTACTTAAATATGTGACTCATCTTTCTGTATAACAGGGTATTGGTATCTATGCCTGCCTCTCTCTCTCTCTCTCTCCATCCATCCATCCATTCATCCATCTATCTATTCTTCCATCTATCTATATTTCATTGTTTTAAAAAATGATCACATACACTATATATAGATAATCATATTTCTGTGTATTTCGGATTACTCTCATTAGTTTCCTATTACATTCACGTTTGCATTTTGGATATATCTCTGTATTTGCTAAGTATCTATAGATTTTTTTTAGTATGTGTATGAGTAATTGTTTTTGTAGAGGTACATGTGTGTGTACCTGTGTGTGGAGGGCAGGGGTCAACCTTGGGTCCTATTCCTTGGGCACTGTCTACCTTGTTATTTGAAATCCCTGAAACTCACCAAGTGTGCTAGTCTTGCTGGGCAATGGGCTCCAGGAACCTGTTGTCTCCACCTACACAGTGCTAGGATTACAAAGTGTGTTATCATGTGCAGTCTTTTTTCTTTACTGTGGGTTCTTGGAACTAAATTGAGTTTCCATGCTTAAAAGGCAAGTGCTTGAACAACTGAGCTATCTCCCCAATTCAGATTCTTAAAAGTAGGGTAAAGTTCAGGACTGGCCATATAGCGTAGTGATAGAGCACTTACCTAGCATTAACCAAAAAACAAAGAAAAGAAAAAATACCAGAGCAAAACCCCCAAAATTTAAATTGTAATAAAAATTCAACAAAGAATGGAGGCCATGTAACAAGCCCATGTTCCCCATCCATCCAGAATTAACGTGCGTTACGTTTCTGTTTGTCAGCAGAGAGAAGTTTGAGCTCCTTGGCTTTCTTTCCAGCCACATCTCCCCTGCCTGTAGAAGTCTGCTGTCAGCTGGGGGCTTTCCAGTTCTGTTTCTGTCCCTTTCTTATAGCCACCCACGTGCAGAACACACAAAGTTGCTTTGTCCTGTATTGTGAAATTTCCTCAGAGCCAGCTTCTTGTGTCCAGGCTTATCTGTCTTTTTTCTCCTGCCCACTTGACTTTGAGGCTTATTTTCTTGGTTCTGGACGAGGACTCTCTCTTGCTGAGTCAGGCTAGCTGCCCTCATCCTAAGGCATATCAGGCAGCTCACAACTATTTGTAATTTTGGCTCAAGTGTATCCAATAACCTCTTCTGGCCTTTGTTAGTAGCTGCACACATGCAGCATACACACATAGAAATAATTCTTTAAAAGATTTATTAGTAGGGCTGGAGAGATGGCTTAGCAGTTAAGCGCGTTGGCTGCTTTTCCAGAGGACCCAGGTTCAATTCCCAGCACCCACATGGCAGCTCTTACTACCTGTAACTCAGAGTTCAAGGGATCCAACTTGCTCACATAGACACACGTGCAGGAGAAATACCAATACACATAATTTTTTTAAAAAAAATTATAAAAACATCCAGTTAACTTAAAATTATTAATAAAATGTTTTAACACAGTTTCAGAATTTTAGAAAAATTAAACAAGGGATAGTCCACAGGCAAGATATGCTTATACCTTTTCTGTATGCTGAAACTTACATGTAATTTACCCAAATTATGTTTTAAAAAAACTTTAGCCCATGTACCCTCTCCCACTTTTTCCACAAAGGTCACCACTTTCTTGAACTTTGAGATAATTATTCTATTGAATTTTTGTGAGTGTTTTTAATTTCTTCTGGGTTTCTATTATTTTAAAATATGGCTTATTAAAACCATTTGAATGCCGTAAAAATTAAGTGACTTGTCTTACTCAGCATCATTTTTGAAACTTACAGTCATCAGAAAGAAATTTCACCCAACTCTTCCTACCCTTACTGTGAGTGACATCTTTATGTTTTCTTTTATATCCACTTCATAATTTTAGTGCTGATATTTCCTCCACCAAAATGGCTTACAATGGATCATAACCTACACTTAAAAAAAATGAAAAGAAAAGCTAAACAACCCTGACTTAGGATGTATGCCTGGAAATAGGGCTTAGTAGGCTATCTGGAAGTTGAATGTCTTGTTCCCTCACTGTCCGCTTTATTCCCAGGAGACAATCTTTCACTGAAGCTGTAACTAGGCTGGTGGTCAGCAAGCTCCAGTGATTTTTCTGCCTGTCCCTGTCAGTGCTGGGGTTACAAGCATGTGCAGCCATGTCCAACTTTTTAGCATGGCCTCTGGAGATTTGAATTCATACTTGTGTAGCAATTGCTCTTACTTGCTAACCAAACTTTCTTCAGTGCCAGAAAGCCATTTTAAAAAAAAAGTTAATTAAGCTGGGAGGTTTTAGCATATGCCTTTAATCCCAGCACTTGGAGGCAAAGGCAGGTAGGTCTCTGAGTTTGGGAACAGCCTGGTCTACAGAGTGCGTTCCAGGACAACTAGGACTATTTAAGAGAGACTCTGTCTCGGGAAAAAAAAAAAGGAGCTGGAAAGATGGTTCAGCAATTGTGGTCACTTCCTGCTCTTCCAGAGGACCTTTTGGTTTCCAGCACCCATACCAGGCAGCCCATAACCACCTATAATTTCAGCTCCAGGGGATCCAATAACAGCTTCTGGCCTCTGTGAGCAGCTGCATACATGTGCGTGTGTACATACACACACATGCATATATCGAGAACGCATACAGATAGAAGTAAATCTTTTAAATTACTAATAAATTTTTAAAATAACTTCAGACTTATGGAAAATATTAAAGAGAATAGTATAAGAATTCTTAGGTGGCCTGTACCCAGATTCCTCAAATATTTTTTTGCTGAATTTATTTTATCTTAAATTTTTGTTTCTTTTACACATATTGAATTGTGTGTATATATGTGCACATGAACTTTTATTTCAGGTAATGTTTACATATCATAAATAAATATCTTCAAAATTGCAAAAGAGCACCCACTGACTTCTGATGGCTCAGAGCAAAATATAAATCACATTCCTAAAATAAGTTCTGTGAACAAGTCAAGATACAGGATTATTTCTTCATGTAATTTTGCCTGTATGGTTCTAATCCACGATAATGAAGACTGTGCTAAGGTTAAAAAAATAAATGAGGTCTTCTAGCTTTCCTTGGTGGAATTTAAGCAAGGTAATAGTGTTTTTAAAACAGAAAATGTTGGAAGATTTAAGGGAAAAAAAAGAAAACAATCTCAAATTTAGACATAAAAAACAAAACTCCTGTCTTTATTTTTATAGGTGTACCTTGGAACTTCACATTTAATGTGAAGTTTTATCCGCCTGACCCAGCACAGCTGACTGAAGACATAACAAGGTAAGTACTTCGTCGGCATGGATATCCAGAGCTGTATTCTTATCATCAACTCTGGGAATTTCCCCACTCAGAACAGGAGAAAATGTTAAATGGTTAGTCTAAAATACAGAGTTTCTGGTGCCTTCAAACTAGACTTACAGATGCTGAGCCTGAAAGGCTGGAACCTGCCAGGAGCCAGCCCTGCTTACCATGTGTTACACCACATAGTACAGTACAGGGTGGGCAGGGCTTCTCTTAAACCACACTCCCCTGGCAAGTCCTACTTGTTTTACTGTATTCCCCATAAGGTTGAAAACAGCAAAATCACATGATAATTATTTCTTTATCTCTCCTTTAAAGCGTCCCCCTTGTACTGACCCATTTTTGAGCCTATTTAATTTATAGCACACACCTTCAATCCCAGCACTCGGGAGGCAAAGGCAGGCAGATCTCTGTGAGTTTGAGGCTATCCTGATCTAAAGAGCGAGTTCTCGGACAGGCTCTAAAACTACAGAGAAACCCTGTCTCGAAAAACAAAAAACCAAACCAAAACAACAACAACAAAAAAACTATTGAATTTTTAAGAAAATTATTTTTGGTTTTATCAAAGATGAACAAAAACTAAATGGAAAAGTACCGCATGTTGAACGCTGTGAGCATTCATACCTGTGATGTCACCAAGGAACCCTCTTCATAGTAGATACTTGGCAGTATTTGTTAAATTGAATTGCTGGGTTGCCAAGAAACTGCTTTCTAAATCTGATTTTGTTGTTGATAATCTGATTTCTGAGGAATTTATAGTCTCTAAGATTCAGTTTTCGTCTCTCTAAAATGAGGGAGGGGTTGAAGCAATGGTTTGCTGGTTAAAAGCCCTGGTTGTTCTTCCTAGTGACCCAGGTTCAATTTCCGGCACCCACATGGTGGCCCACAGCTATCTGTGACTCTAGCCCCAGGGAACACCAAGCCCTGCTCTGATCTCCACGGACAGTGCATGCACATGGTACACAGATATATGCAGGGAGAATACCCATTTGTAAAATAAAAATACAGGAAAATATAAATGAGGGAATAATTTAAACTCCTAAAATCCGATGATTAAGTGCTGTGAAAAGCCTATAGCATTTTCTAAGGTTACTTTGTGTAAAGTCATTCTCAGTTGAGATGTCTTCTCCTTCCCCGAGAAAACTGTTTATTTCATTTTTATGGTATACATGGGTGTGCATAATACTTAAGAGTGTATACTCACTGGGGCGGTGGTGACGCATACCTTCAGTCCCAGCACTCAGGAAGCAGAGGCAGGTGGCTCTTTGTGAGTTCGAGGCCAGCCTGATCTACAGAGTGAGTTCCAGGACAGCCAGGGCTACACAGAGAAACCCTGTCTCGAGACCTCCACTCCCACCCCCAAAAAAAAGTGTGTACTCAATAAAATAATTTCTTTACCTCCTTCAGATGTTTCCTACTTTTCCTCTTTTTCTGAACTGTTTTCCAACTCTGATCAATATAGTTATTGAGCTTTTTATGAAAATATTTTAAATAAAAGGAAGAAACAGTTTCACAATGACTAGCCATGTGTCCCCTGTCCTATACTGAACAATTATCATGTTGTGTTTCCTTAGCCTCTTTCCTTCTCTCTTCTTTCTTTTCCCCCTTTCTTATTTTTTGTCTGTCTGTATTGTGTTCTTCTGTTGTTACTGACATATTCACATCTTTTCTTATTTTGGATGTAGATATTATTTATGTCTTCAGCTTCGGCAGGACATCGTTGCTGGACGGCTACCCTGTTCCTTTGCAACCTTAGCCCTCCTCGGCTCTTACACCGTCCAGTCTGAACTGGGAGACTATGACCCGGAACTGCATGGCGTGGAATATGTTACTGACTTTAAACTGGCTCCAAATCAGACCAGGGAACTTGAAGAGAAGGTCATGGAATTGCATAAGTCATACAGGTGAACATGTTTGCAGATGTTCTGGGTTTATTTTGGCTGTGAGTTTAAACCCGTGACTTGTTATTGATTCATTGTTTACCATAGCGAGAGTCACCCTGAATTCATTTCCCTTTATTGTTTGACTTTGGGAAAGGCATTCAAGCCCTCTGACTGTTTTTCTTATCAGGGTAATGGAAAATTTTTTTGTTTGTTTCTGTTTTTGTTTCCAGGTTTACTGAAAAATTTTTTTCTTCTGTTTCTAAGTTTATTGATTTTATTGTATTAGTTATCAGAGTACTGAGCATTGCATTGTAGGGTAAAAACTAAATGAGATTGTGTGTGTGTGTGTTTGTGTGTGTGTGTGTGTGAGAGAGAGAGAGAGAGAGAGAGAGAGAGAGAGAGAGAGAGAGAAACCACTTAGCACAAGGCCTTCACATAGTAGGTGCTCAATACATGGTAGCTATCACTATTATTGCTTTAACTTTTCTATTCCAGGTTTTAGACATATGCTACATTAGGTGCCTTAAGAGCCTTAGAGCAAGAACTTCTGATTTGGGTGCTGGGCATGTGGGTAGATTCAGAGGGTCGGTGGTACCCTTGAAAGTATTTTCTTAAGCCATGTCTTCATCAAATTCCCTGATTTATTGCTTTTAATGAAGTTAATTAGTAACGTTGGGAGATAGCACACCATGACTAAGAGCAAGGCTTATCCTTGGTTTGAGGCAGGTCGAGGTCATGCCTCTGTTCTGTCCCTTCCCTGTGAACTTAAGACGATGCCCTTCAGTTTTCTCTGATCTGGTTCCTAGAGTGTCTAACTGAGATTGTTACTTTAGAAGAAATAAGGCAAAGAATAAGTTTAGAAAAGAGAATGTGTGTGTGTGTGTGTGTGACATATAAAAATTCAGTAATTGTTACCTAATACCAAAATGAGCCCCCCCCATTGTATTTCTTTCTCTGTACACCTGTTTTTTTATTTGAATGACTTACTGTAGTTAAATTTCACAAACTGCTTTAGTCTGATCTTGACTTTGGTTGACATCACATTAGCATGGCATCCTGAGCTGTGTGAGCATGCTCTGTGTTACAAAGATTTAAAAGGTCAGTTTGTCCAAAGCATGGTCTCTGGAGCTTGCTGCGGTAGCCACAAGTATTCTGTCTGTCTGTGGAACTGTCCTGTTCTCTTTGAGTTCATTTTAATAGATTTAATAGATCGTGAGATGCTTCTAATGAGAGATCTTTACCTTAATATGGCCTGGTTCTGACTGTCTTATTGCATTTAAGGTTCAGATGCCTCAGTCATGAAAGCCATAATAATTTTCATTAATTGATTGTATGTGTGCATGTGTGTGCATGTGTGGAAATCAGAAGATAGCTTGCAGGAGTCAGATTTCTTTCCATCATGTGGGTTCCAGAACTCAAACTCAGGTTTTCAGTGCCTTTACCCCGCCCCCCCACCCAGACCTATAATAAGGAGTGTAAAGTTTATAGCCCGTGTAGCATCATCTCATGTGCTACCCAGCTCTCATGGGATTACAGTGTGTTTTACATTTGTTTATTTTATGTGTGCGGATGTTTTGTTTGCATGTATTGTATGTACTATGTGTGTGCCTTGTGCTCATGGAGGTCAGAAGAGGGCACTGGGTCACCTATAGAACTGGAGTTACAGAATGTTATTAAGCCACCATGTTGGTGCTGAGAATTGAACCTGGGTCATCTGTAAGAGCACCAAGTGCTCCCAACTACTGATCTGTCTCTCTAGCTGTCAAAATTTACTTCTACATTGGGCTTATGCGTCCTAAGGTACTAATGTGTGAGACCACTAACTCAGAGATCTGCCTGCCTCTGCCTCCTGTGTGCTGGGGTTAAAGGCATGCGCCACCACTGCCCAGCTTCTGATGATACTTTTAATAGTTATTTGATCACAATAGGATTCAAATTTGGAAGGACTTTGTACAGCGTCTCATCTAACGCTTGACTGTTCTTTATACCGTTGTTACATAATCATGATAATTAGAAGTCATCAGTTAAAATAGTCTCTTCCTACGTGCCAGATAGTGTGCTAAGCACTTTATGCTCAGTGTCACACTTAACCTTTATCGCCACCTTTTAAACTAGCCAGCAGATCTAAAAGTGTAGTCCACAAACTCTGCTGCTTTTCAAAAGCGGTCTCTTAACGCAGAATTGTTTCCATGGCAATTCTAAGTTATTTGACTGTCTCACTGTGTCGAAGGCGCTGAAGCACAAATTGAGGCACAAAGCTGTCCTAGTAGCCATATTTCTCACCAGTATGCAGTGCAAGTACCCATAATCCTAGCCCTGGGAGGTGAGACAGGAGGATGCTCACTAACAGTCGCAGAGCTCCGGGTTCAGGGAGAGATCCTGCCTCAGAAGGTAAGTTGGAGAGCAATAGAGAGGACTCTTGACATTGACCTCTGGCCTTTACACACTCACACGTGAGTGGGAGTGCCTATATGCACATCCATAATACATAGACACACACATGTGAATTAAAAAATAAAAAGGTGAGTTCATTTAAGAATTTTCTTACAGGGACCTGTGAGATGGCTCAGTAAGTAAAGCTACTTGCTACCAAACTTGATAACCTGAATTCCGTCCCTAGATCCCACATAGTAGAAAAAGAACCAACTTCTGCAAATTGTTCTCTGACCTCCATAGAAGTCCTCCATTGTGTAAGCAAATGAATTAAAAGTGAAACAACAACAACCACAAAACTAACCTATCTTCCTCCCTCCTTTCCTTTCTTCCATACTCTTCATGAGTATGAGTGGCCGGCAGCTCTTTGTCCTCCTGCTTCTGCCCCTTAGTGCCGGGATCATGAGCATTGCCTCACTATGCCCAGCAATTTTAAGAATAGTCTATTTTCATTTAGATGCTGTTGTTAAACCTAGAGCTTGAGCATACAGGCAAATGCATTGTGCATCTGAGCTTTGCTCTCAGCCCAAGACAATATTGATTAAATAGTTTAAAAAGTGTTCATTTTACCAAATCTTGAATGTATTTTAGTTAATGGTCTATGACTTAATGAAATGTACTTAAAGCATCCCTCTGCCTGCCAGTTCAAGTACAACCATGTACAGCAGCAAAAGCATCATGATTACATTGTGGGCTGAATGAGTTCACCACCGTTTTTCTGTAACACTATTGGAAAAAAAGATCAACAATTTATAATCACTCAGACCTGATTATTTGACATACATTGGGGAAAAAAAAAGGAATGAGCCAGTACTTTTAGAAGAAAAAAAAACTGATAGTATTTGTTGCTTTTGCAAAATTCAAGCCTTCAAACAAAAATTAGCATTTAAGACTGTTGTACTGGTACACTTTCATGATGCATGTACTCTGGAGGGTGAGGTGGAAGGCTCATGTGGGTCAAGGATTTTAGAGCCACCCTGGGCAAACATAGGAAGATAGCTGTAGGCAGATTTTTCATCAGGACTATCAACTCCCCGGTAACAACAGAGATTTATTATTAATTATGAAAGTTCGGCCTATAGCTTAGGCTTGCTTCTGACTAGCTCTTATAACTTAAATTAACCCATTTCTATTAATTTACTTTCTACCTCATGACTTCCTTACCTCATCTCCATATCGCTCATCCTGCTTGCCCTGCATCTGCTGGTGTTTCCACCTTATTCTTCCCCAGTATCCTCTCTGCCCTGAAAATCCTGCCTTGCTATTGGCCATTCAGCTTTTTATTAAACCAATCAAAGTAACGCATCTTCATAGTTTGTGTATATATATATATATATATATTTTATATATTTATAAAAAATATATATATATTTTAAAAAGACTCCAAACAGACTCCCAACAGAACAGATTCCAAAGTTAGAATTTTGGAAAACTTACATATACCATGATTATCTTGCCAGTTAACAATTACAGACTTTTCTATTGAGATTAGTAGTGTGTTTGTTGTTTTATGTTTTGAGACAGGGTTTCTCTGTATAGCCCTGGTTGTCTTAAGGTGCACTCTGTAAACCAGACTGGTCTTGTACTCAAATATCCACCTACCCTTGCCTCTGGAATGCTGGGATTAAAGGCATGCATCATCACTACCCAGCTGAGGTTAGCAGTGTTTTAATGAACATGGTTTTAAACATATGTGTTGTATGCTGACATGTGTCAACTTTTGAATGAATTAATTCAGCTAATAAATATATGAAACATATCATGTTTTAAAATAATGCTGACCAGGTATATAGTGCACACCTTTAACCCTGACACTGAAGGCAGAGGCAGCCAGATCCCTGAGTTTGAGGCCAGTCTGGTCTACAGAGTAAGTTCCAGGACAGCCAGGACTACACAAAGAAAACCTGTTAAAAACAAAAAATAAAAAACAAACAAAAAAACCTCCAAAAACCAAAAACTAAAGTAAATAAAAAATAAATAAGTAAAATAATGCACAAGTAAAAAGATGCACTCAAAATGCAAGGTAGACCAGTGAAATCTCAAGTATGTAATGAATTTTAACAACACAAAATTTCATTGATTTGTTGAGTTCAAACTCCCAGAGCCCTCGTAGAACCCATGTCAAAAGCCTTGCAGGGTGGCACATTCTAATCCCAGCACTGGAAGGGCGGGGACAGGTGGATTTGGAGGCTGACTGGCCAGCCAGTGCGGCATAATTGGTGAGGTCAATGAAGAGACCTATTTCAAAAGACAAGGTGAAAGGCATCTGAGATGACACTCAAAGTTGACCTCTGACCTGCACATATGCACATGCTCACTCTCATATATGCTTGTGTCCCTCATGCACATACATGAACACACATAAGAAACTGCTCTCACGTTTAGATATAGTATCAAAAAAGACTTAAAAATTTTCATCTTTTGCTATTATTTTTTATAAATTGTTTTTAATTTATAAAACAGTAGATTTATTGTTATTCTTTAAGAGCCAGTAAATGAACACTTAAGTTTTACTTAGACTTAAAATTTATAGCACAGTCTAACACATAAAGAAAAGTACTTTGTGGTCCTCAATGATTAAGGTGATA